TCATAACTGTTAGCTCTTCTTGATGGATAGACACTGTAATTATTATATAATGCCCTTCTTAATCTCTTGTTACAGTCTTTAGTTTAAAATCTAGTTTGTCTGATATAAGTATGGCTACTGCAGCTTTCTTTTCACTTCCAATAGCATAATAGGTAGTTCTCCATCCCCTCACTTGCAATCTGAAGGTGTCCTCAGGTCTACAATGAGTCTCTTGTAGACAGCAAATAGGTGGGTCTTGTTTTTTTTTTTTTATCCATTCTGATACCCTATGTCTTTTGATTGGAACATTTAGTCCATTTATATTCAGTGTTGTTATTAAAAGACATGGTTTTAGAGTCATTGTGATGTCTGTAGTTTTCATGCTTGTAGTGATGTCTCTGGTCCTTTGTGGTCTTTGCAACAATTCATTCACAGAGTCCCCCTTAGGATCTCTTGTAGGGCTGTTTTAGTGGTAATGAATTACTTCAGTTTTTGTTTGTTTGGGAAAATCTTTATCTGTCCTTCTATTCTGAACGACAGACTTGGCTTTTCCTGTTCATTACCTTGAAGATTTCTTGCCACTCCTTTCTGGTCTGCCATGTTTCAGTAGATAGATTGAAACTGCTACCCTTATGTGTCTACCTTATGTGTAGGTTAAGGCCCATTTGTCCCTAGCTGCTTTCAGAATTCTCTCTTTATCTTTGTATTTTGCCAGTTTCACTATGATATGTCATGCAGACGATCGATTCAAGTTATGTCTGAAGGGAGTTCTCTGTGCCTCCTGGGTTTCAATGTCTGTTTCCTTCCCCAAATTGAGGAAGTTCTCAGCTACAATTTGTTCAAGCACACCTTTGGCCCCTTTCTGTCTCTCTTCTTCTTCTGTAACTCCTATGATACAGATATTGTTCCGTTTCATTGAGTCACTTAGTTCTCTAATTCTCCCCTTGTGATCCAGAATATTTTTTCTCTCTTTTTCTCAGCTTCATCTTTTTCCATAATTTTATCTTCTATTTCACCTATTCTCCCCCTGCCTCTTCAATTCTGGCTGTCACCACTCTCATTTATTTTGCACCTCGTTTACAGCAATTTTTAATTCATCATGACTATTTTTTAGTTCCTTGATTTCTGCATAATAGATTCTCTGCTGTCTTTTAGGCTGTTTTTCAACTCCATCAGTTAATCTTATGACTATTATTCTAAATTCTTGTCCAGTTATATTGTTTATATCTTTTTTGATCAATTCTTTAGCTGTCATTTCTTCCTGGAATTTCTTTTGAGGGGAATTCTCCCGTTTCATCATTTTGGCTACTTTTCTGTCCCTTATGTGTTTTGAAAGCTTGCTACATGTCCTGTTCCTGCAAACACTACTATATTAAAGAGGGATCATACACTGTCCAGGGCCTGGCCCTTCAGGAGGTGTATTTGGAGAGTGTTACTTGTTCTTTGTTGTTGTGACTCTGGCTGCTTTATCTCCCTACTGGTAGTGATGTTTTGAACCCTCCAATAAGTGTGCTTTGATTTGTTCTTGAAGTAGCCCTAGAAAGTAAAACAAAGAAACAAAAACAAACAGAAAGCAAAAACACTCAAACACACACAAACAATCAAAAATCCCAAAAACAAAAACCAGGAACACCAGCTACAAGTAAACAACAGGTGGAGGAAGATAAGGAAGAGCCCTTATCCCATACAAAGAGAGACATGACAGGGACGGGGAAAATAAAGGGTAAAAAAGGACCAGAGAAACTATATGGCTTAATCCAGAGAGAGAGAAAGGAAAATAAAGAAGGAGGCAGGGAAAAAGAAAAATAAAATAATTTATCTAGACAGAGAAACTTTAAGGCTTAACCCCAAGAGAGAGAAGGAGATTAAAGAAGGAGGTGTAGAACATGTATCAAGAGAATGGATTAAATATGTCTGCTTAAACAAACTAGCAACCAACAACCAGAGTAACTAGACTAGAGGAGGGACGAGATAAGGAGAAAAGGTAGGAAGAATGTATCTACATAGTAAGAATTGTCTGAGAATTAAATCAGGCAAAACAGCAGCGCTGGTCTGGAGGAGGGGCTGTCTGGTTCCTCTCTGTCAATCCTGCTCCAGGAGATGGGCAGTTACCCAGCGCCAAGGGGCGTGGTTTGGTGTGGGCGGGTCCGCCTCCACTGTGGGCCCCCTGTCTGTCCCCAGGACCTTCTCCATGGACAGCGTGTCCCAAACTACTGTGTTCGACCCATCTTCACTGTGGTGTGGATGCAAATAACGGGGCTTGTCCTGCTCCGCCGACTCCCATGCCCAGCGCTCAGCTGGGATTTAAACTCTGGCTCTGCGCCCCTCACCCCCAGTCCACCCCCTAGTACTGGGGAAGCACCTGTCCAGGTTGCCCGCTATTGCAGGCAGGCTTTGTCCTGTCCCACAGCACTCCAGGGAGGGGACCACTGTCTCCCACTGCAGACGGCGCTCCTGACCTAGCCACCGAGCCCGGGCTGGCTCCTTTCCTCCCCTTGTGGGACAACAGGACAGTCGGCCCCGGTCCAGAAAAGGCCCGCAGTCAGGGGTTGGGTCTTTGTCACCGGGTCGGTGGTTTTTCTCTCCCCCAGATACAGTCCTGTGCTTCCCCAGCCTCCGTTCCTCTTCCCTTTGTCGCTCCGCAGAAGAGGATCCCTCTCCTCCATTCGTTGTGTCTCCCCCAGTTCCCAGTCATGCGCCTGTGGCCCGTCAGGTTGTCCTCGTGGGTCTCTGGACGTGAGACTGTCTCTTTTCCTCCCCGACTCTCAGAGTTAAAAGTCCTTTAGCTTCAACAGTACTTTGATTGAAAGAGGAGGGAACGGCGGGCCCCCTCACTTCCACCATGTTCCAAGATCGATGTGGTGTATTTTTGAATATTTATTTGGAATGCCAAATTGAGCTTGTATTCCCGGGATAAACACTACATGGTGATGAAAAAAAAATTTATTGCTGGTTTCAATTTGCTAATATATTAAGACTCTTTTGAAAACAAATGTTCATGAGGGATATCCATATATACATCTTGTTAATGTTTTAGTGGGATTTTGGTGGCAGGGTTTTTGACATTTTCACGTACGTTGTGCAGTGGTAACTCCTCCTTTATTTCCACAAAGAATTTGCTTAACAGTAATAGTATATTTTTCTTAAATCATTTAGGAAACTCACCAAAGAAGCAATCTGAGCCTAGAATTATAGTTTTTATTTTGTCTGAATTAATCTCTTCAGTGCTTTTAGGACTTTTTCTGATATTCTTTTCTTCCTTTGTAAGGTTTGGTAAAATGTTTTTCAAGATTTTTTTTTGCCATTTTAACTAAGTTACGAATTTAATTGCATGAAGTTATTCATCATATCATTTTATTATTCCTTTTAAGATTTATTGACTTGCTCGACTTGCAATAATACTGCCTCTTTTGTTCCTGATATCAATAACTTGTATTTTCTCACTCTTTTGCCCCATCACTTTTCCTATGGGTTTTATTAATCTTTCCAAAAAAAAACCATTTTTGTCTTGGTTAATTTTGTCCATTCTTTTGTTTCAATCTTATTATTTTCCACTTCACTTTTATTGTTTTCTATCTTCTATTTACTTTGATTTGTTTTCTCTTTCATACCTAACTTCTTAATGTGAAAGCATAGATCATTAACTTTGCACCTTTCTTTTGTGCATTCGTTTAAATCTTGGAATATCACTGACAAGACTGCTTTAGATCTGTCACAGAATTTGACATAGCATTTTATTCTGCTCAAAATGGATATAAATTTGAAAGTAATATGTTTATGCATTAAAATAGTGTCTCATAAGAGAAAATGCAGATAAACATCAAAAGAAAAATTAGCTAAAACAAAGTATGAAATGCTTAAGATTTAAAAAGTAGAAAAACTATATTCATGCTGGTTTGGAGAAAAGCCTGTGATCCTCTTCTTAGCACCAGGAAAGCTATGGAACTTTAGAGTGATAAAAATGGAAAACAAAATCACTTCCTTTTTCAACACATTAGTTAATGTTAGGAATGTCACCTAGGACCTCTCATGTCTGAATTTAAGTATAAGATTTAAATAAAAATTGGGAGGGGCGCCTGGGTGGCGCAGTCGGTTAAGCGTCCGACTTCAGCCAGGTCACCATCTCACGGTCTGTGAGTTCGAGCCCCGCGTCGGGCTCTGGGCTGACAGCTCAGCAGCCTGGAGCCTCTTTCCGATTCTGTGTCTCCCTCTCTCTCTGCACCTCCCCCGTTCATGCTCTGTCTCTCTCTGTCCCAAAAATAAATAAACGTTGAAAAAAAATTTTTTTAAATAAAAATTGGGAGTCAATTATATCAATAGTACATATTTATCAACATTTGCACCTTCAAAACGTATAATGTTTTCAAATAATGCAATTCATCAAAAATCAAGAAATACATAATTCTAATCCTGACTGTAAAAATTACTGCATTGTGAAAGCTGAGTTTAAGACACCCATTACTCATACTTAGGTTTCTCGTGAGAATCTGATGTGAAGCTTTTTAGTTTCAATTTCACCAATTTAGATAGCATCAGTGAAGGTACTTCCAATTATAGCATATGCCTAGAACATTTATAAAGAAAGAGCCCATGCAAACTTTATTTGCATCATGGAAAATGATGATAACTACCAATATGATTTGCAAGTAGGTTGAAATGTGACAGTGAATGGAACTTTGTAGATGAACCAAATTCTGCACAATTGTAAGTATGGGTCATAAACGTAGGTCACTTGGGATAATGGAATTCAATAGCAGTTCTACAAGGTTGTATGTTTTCATTAATAAAGCTTCACATTGTTTCTGAAATCAAAGATAAACACGTGGGTATCCTTCAGGGTCCCATTTTAGTCACTTAGCCTACTTGCAAAACTGTGGCTTTGATAGAAGTGAGGTAAAAATGTATTTTAGTAACTGATTTCATGGTATTATCGAGGATCTGGAAAAATACAATGTAGAATGCAGTCTAGCATATTTTGGTGTTCTGACCAGTGGGGTGTTGTGATTTTTTTTTTCCTGCAGGTGCTCCAAGTGACCAGAGCAGTGGTACCTCCTCCCCTCTTTGTGACAGTGGGTTGCATCTCAACTATCATCCCAACAATACAGTAAGATGGCCAAGGCATATTCAGACTAATAAGGAGATAACACAAAGAAAGGCGGAAAATATGTGTGTGTGTGTGTGTGTGTGTGTGTGTTTTCCTATTTTCCTATTTTCCAAAAACTGCTATCGAATCTCATTGCTCTGATATAGTTGAAGTCCTTGTTTGCTTCATCCTTTAAGAATTAGGATAAACCAGGGGACATCTGGGTGACTCAGTCGGTTTAGTATCTGACCCTTGGTCCACCTCACAAATCTCACGGTGAGTTCGAGCCCTGCAGCTCTGTGCTGGCAGTGTGGAGCCTGCTTGGGAATCTCTCTCTCGTCTCTGTCTCTGCCCCTTCTCTGCTTGCGTGCTCTTTCTCTCTCAAAATAAATAAGTAAACTTCAAAGAATTAGGGTAAACCAGGAAAAAATAAATAGGTCAATTATTAATTTTTAAAAATTTTTTGATGTTTTTGTTTTTTGTTTTTGTTTTTGTTTTTTTTTTAAGAGAGAGAGACAGAGCACAAGCCGGGGAGGAGAAGAAAGAAAGGGAGACACAGAATCTGAAGCAGGCTCCAGGCTCCAGGCTGTCAGCACAGAGCCTGACTTGGGGCTTGAACTCATGAACCATGAGATCATGACCTGAGCTGAAGTCGGAGGCTTAACGGACTGAACTACCCACGTGCCTCAGTCATTTATTTTTTAATGTCATTTTTCTCCTCTCAGGTCTGCATTAAGCCTTTTGCAAGCTAATGAGACTAACTTCATGAGATCACATAACATCATGCAATCATTTTATCATAGTGCATATTATACGTAATTTCATGCTCTAAATGATTTGACATGATTTTTATCATTTTTCCTTTGAAATCATTTAGCTGAAAGTAGCTGTTTAATTTTCCTTTTGGTAAGATTTCTTAACGATCTGCCGGCATACCAGGAAATTAACACAAAGCGAGAAAGATCTGACATCATATTAAAACATAATGAATGTTAAACTACACATGTATTTAATCACTGATAAAATTGGCATGTTTGTTTTATATACATTTAATAAAACGTTAAATTTCCTTTTCCACTTGTAGTTTGGGGCAAGCAAGTTTTTTTGTTTGTTTTTGTTTTGTTTTGTTTTTTAATAAACATGTTTGAACTCCTTACATTTCACCCTTCAAAACGTTCACACATCTTCAAGTCAAAGCAGTTTTCTCAGGTTACGTGCGAGTCGAACTTTCCGCTGGGATCACAAACATGAAGAGCAGCAGAGCAGAGATTAAGCAGGAATTTATTTTCCTATTCTGCATATTAGGTTATAAAACACCTGTAGCTTCTGACTTGGATGATTCGTCTTCCACTTGATATTCTTGCCCTAATTGTGGCGTTTTACTCTTTTGAGCATCTCCAACCTTCATTGTACCTCACTGCATCACTACTGTTCTTTACCTGCGTGCCTTAGGTACCCGAGTCCTTTTATAGTTTTATTATTCTTTGCTCCTAAAGAGGAACCCTTGGCAAGACCAAGGGTTACCTCTACCTGCATCAACCAAGCACATCTGGGTGTATTTAATCCGATCTCCTCTCTTATTTTTGTTACCAGAGAAATAATTGTCACATTCTAGATGACATTTAAAACACTGATCTTCAGGGGCGCCTGGGTGGCGCAGTCGGTTAAGCGTCCGACTTCAGCCAGGTCACGATCTCGCGGTCCGTGAGTTTGAGCCCCGCGTCAGACTCTGGGCTGATGGCTCAGAGCCTGGAGCCTGTTTCCGATTCTGTGTCTCCCTCTCTCTCTGCCCCTCCCCCGTTCATGCTCTGTCTCTCTCTATCCCAAAAATAAATAAACATTGAAAAAAAAATTTAAAAAAATAAAACACTGATCTTCAGAAGGTGGCAAGATCTGAGTAGTTTCAACAGTGATTTCCTAATGAGTAAATAAATAAATACATTCTGTACCGCCATTACCACACTTCTCAATTAGTTGACTTCCAGTCTCCAAACAAATCTTCACGTCTTACCTCAGGAACCGCTCACCTTCTTTCCTTACGATCTAGATGCTCTCGGTGCTTCTGATGCCCTTCCAGTCCCCTTTACTGGGCTGGTGCACCTACTACCCCAGCTGCTGTGAGTGCTGGTTACCTGCCCCCCAAACCGCCCCATTCACTGCTGACCTCTCTTGTAAGGACCCTGTGCCTAGGAATCTGGAATCACCACTCCTGGGGGATGGCTGCAGCCTACAACTTGAGGCCTCTCTTCAGGAGTCCCCATCTCTGGCGAAGTTGTCCCTGTCTCATCCACTGCTTCCCTCAGTCCTCACAGGTTTCTCCTGAGAACTTTCCCTTCTCATCTCATTGACCCAAAGTCCCCATCTTAGCTCTGCTCCTCAGACACGAAGGAAGAGCTCCTTGACTTCAGAGTGGAGGAAGCTGTTTAGTCATATTTTTATTCTAATCCTTGTCCTTGTACCCTTGGATTCCTTTATGATAATGAGAAGTAGAGAAGTCACCATGGGTGGGCTATAGGTAAGAATCAGTCAGGTTTTAACTTATCCCACTGACATACATAAAAACATGTATGAAATTGATTTCATGAACTGTGCCTGTATGGTGTTGCTTGCTATTATGTCCTCCCTTAGAAAGGCATAATTAAAACAAGAAAATCACTCAGTAATTCTATAACATGACTGTTCCAAGTAAACCCAGCTATATAAAATAAAAAAAAAAATTGTCATAAATTTTCCTTACAGGGATTATGTCTTTCCATTTTCAAGAGGCCTTTTGTTTTGCTTTTAGCTTAGGGTTGAACATTATTTTGACATCCCTGAAGATCTTTAAGCGCAAGCGAATTCATGATACTCACCATGATTTTAGAGAATAAAGATCCAAACATATGTAAATTGACATAGAGTGCATTAAATTAAAAAAAATCAATGTGTTTCAATTAAATGAATTTTTGCTGAGAACCTACTTTTTGGAAACACTTTTTTAGGTACCATGGGGAGAAGTTAATTGTGTTTCCTGACCCAGAAAGTTTAAAATTCAGATCTATAGACAAATGCATAAAATTAACTATGATAGAAGCAGAAAAAGAACAACGGATATAGCCTTCTGATATCAGAGAGAAGGGCTCCTAGAGACTTGGAATATCGGACTTAATTGAGCTCAACAAACATTGAGGGACCACAAACCAAATTTTGTTCTGATGCCTATCATGGAATAAGGGTTCAGGCCCCATCAGATCATACCGACTTACCCACCCGGGTGCTATCCTGTGTTTCTCTTCTATAAGGTGTGGAGAGTAGAGGATATTGCTTCTCAAAGATTTATAAAATTAGGAGCAGTCAAAGGCATGCTTTCTTCTGACCCATCAGTAAATAAATGAACAGTGAGAACTGGGAAGGCAGTATGTACTATGAGACATATTTTCCACAGAATGTGTGCATGTTATAAATAGTCTCCCGAAGAGAAACATTCAGTTCTCTGATGTGTCTAAATCTTTAAGTCTATCCTGGACGAGGCAACCCATTGTTTTAATTCCTATGCCTTACTTATTCTCTGAAGCAAATTTTGAGTAAGTAGGCATGAGTTTTGTTTTCTGAAACAGCATTTTAAGCATATGGGAAAATATTTTAACATTACCCCATCTTCTTACTAAAAATATAGTCTAGTCCTTATAAGGACCCCAGGTCACTAATTTTAGGGGATAAAAGAGTCCTTTGGTTTGCCAGCCAATATGAAAAAAAAAAAAAAGAATTTGTTTTGTGTCCACCAGAAGACTTAAATTCAGATAATTAGCTAACCAAATTCTGAGAAATGTTTTTCATAACTGTATACCTTTAATGAATATTTTTTTTATGCCAGGTCCTTAACAAAATCCGGATCAGCATTTTGCTCTGTATTCGATTCTATTTTGGTATGATGCTATTCTTGAGTGGCAATTGCATGGCAATATACTTTAAAATGTGTTAACTTTGGGGAAAAGAATCTATTTTAAAGCAAAGAATATCTAAATATTACTTTTCCATTCACATTATTAATATTCTAAGAAACAACATTCTTGACATTGAAGAACAAAGCTCCTGAAAAGTAGTTATGATCCTTGAAATTAAAAAAACTGTTGGTTCTAGCTCATATATAATTAAAAACAACCCTAAGACTACTGTTAAAGAAAAAACTAGAAAGAAAATTTTATTCAACTTTCACAATTAAAGATAAATAATCTTCAAAGAGCACTATATATTCCATTATAAATAAAAGATCTATAAAATGAAATTAAAACTGAAAGTTTCAGTAGCTGAAGTGGGACTTATTTCATATTTTTTATAAGGAGGCAATATAAAAGAAAGTGACAATGGCAACTTTGTTCATAAAAGTATCAAGGTGCAGTGCTACATCAAAGACGTGTCAAATTTCACACGTATTTTCATACTTGAAATATTTCATTTCATATGTTCATAGAAGACTATGAAGTCATATAAAACATGATTTGTAAAACTTACCATACTCGTGTGTTGGTGATTACCATTGTCCTAAATAATCCATCGCTTCAGTCATGTTCTGTTACGGTTTCTATGTCATTTGTTTGAGGAACATATAAAGTGAGGGGAACTATTTGTACTTTTCAAGAAAGAAGAGGAACCATCATCTTTAAATACTTTGCCTAGAATCATGTAGCCAAAGAGTGAAATAATCACGACCAAAATCCTAATTATTCTTTTCATAGTTTCACTTGCAAGTATGACTGGTAAATGTTGTGCGATGAGAGACGTGATGGTCCTAGAATCGTAAAGATGTAGAGCCGAGTGGATCTGCCTAGCACTGTCATTTGCAGCCTGGCTGACTTGGGTCAATTATTTACTGTAAAATTTCTCAGGAGAGCCCCATGTGCATGGGGTCCTGTGAGTGGGTTCCAGACATACTCTGATATGTGCTTAATAGTCATTGGTAGACCCTGGGACACTCTCATTCCCTATAGTCTGCTCTGACCACAGAAACCTAGTCTACGTACCCTAGTATGTTACTCAGGATCATTATTTCTTCGAGTGCCTTCATGCAGAAAAGGTGGGGAAGCAATAATTTAATGGGCCTAAAAAAAGCTTTAGGTTTTTCTTTTGTAAGAGGAGCCTTTTAACAAGCTTATCGTTGGAGATAGGCACAATAAAACACAGATCATTTAAATAAATTGCTCCGCGGTTAAAGGACTCGTCAGTTGGGAAATTGGCATTTTGGAACCCAGGTGATCTGATTCTGATTCCGAGCCTGAGCCTTCGTCACCCTGTTGTATACTGCCACCTAACTGACCTCATTTCACATGGTGACCGTCTATAACATGAGACATCAAGGCCAGAAGCAGGATTAACATGAAACCTACGTTTGTGCCTTTGCAGTCACAAGATAAGCATTAAAAACTAGGTGTCTTGGAGACCAATCACCAGTAGGGGGCCCCTCACTGGAGGGTCTTAGCAAGGCTGCCCTTGCCTTCCTACCCAGTGTCCTCAACAACTGGAAGGATTTAGTGGATATTTATTGGCACAGTGGGTGCATTAACATAATAATGCCAAACAGCATGTGACCTTTAGTGAAAACAGTGGAAGCAATTTTGAAGAAATTAATACCTTAAAATGTTAGAGGTGCCTGACTGGCTTAGTCAGGGGATCCTGGGACTCTTGATCTCCGAGTTCTGGGTTTGAGCCCCCTGTTGGGTGTAGAAATTACTTAAAAATAAAATCTTTAAAAAAATGTTAATGATAATATTGAGACTAATGGAGTTTCAAAATCTAGACTAAAATAGAATTTCCTAACATCATCACTCAAAAAGTATAGAATCTATAGAACATAAAGAAATCAGATCATGCCTTGGCCCTTACAATCCATGCAAACTTAAATATCAAGATTATTCCAGGTACTGCTGCCAAGAAGAAATTGTAAAGTAAAGCTGAAATAATGAAAGAAGCGTGGATCATCATCAAGTGTGAAAAAACCAAATTTTATTCAAATATATGTTTCTTCTATACATAAGGAAAAAGACCCAAAGTTCTTTTTTTTTTAATTTTTTAATGTTTATTTATTTTTGACAGAGACAGAGAGACAGAGAAAGAGAGACAGACAGAGACAGAGCATGAGTCGGGGAGGGGCAGAGAGAAAGGGAGACAGAATCTGAAGCAGGCTCCAGGCTCTGAGCTGTCAGAGCCCGACGTGAGGCTCGAACTCACGGACCGCGAGATCATGACCTGAGCCGAAGTCAGACGCTCAACCGACTGAGCCACCCAGGAACCCCAAAAGACCCAGCCTTTTAATGAAACTTAAAATACATGTAATTTTAAACCAGCAGTGGTTGATTTAACATCAATTTAACACAATATAAGAACATACAAACATTTTATAAACTTGAAGTTAAAACACTGGACAGAGATTTCCTTGAGTAGTTTTTAAAAGTTGTTTTATAAGAAATTCATTCTACTCAAAAATATTTACAAGTAACTGATAAATTACGAGCATGTATAACACTGTTTAGCGCTTAGCCAATACTCAGAAAATATTGGGTAATTGAATGAACGACAACTTATTCTTATATTTGTCACTCATTACTTCCTTGTAACTTGGCCCATATTTCCATTCCTGAATGAATTGAGTTCTGTCACCCTTTTATTTTTTTCTCCCTTCTCCCCACTCCATTTTTTCATAGGCTTTCCCTGCCATTCTTCATCTCCATTATTCCCTCCTCAATTTCTTATATAATTCTGTTAATAAGGAAGTTAAAAATACAAATTTATTGGTGATGAATATGGATTCCTTTCTGAGGCATTCTATAAATGTCTTTTGATTATTTAGGGGGAAAAAACGATCCATCAAATGGAAAGTATTCATAACATAGGAACTCAAAACACAGAAATGAAAAAAAAAAAAAAGAAAAAACCAATACTGATTGTTTGTATTCTTTCAGGACACGTTGTCATGTTCGTCCTGGCCAACATCTCCAGGCTTGAGATGGGAAAAACGATGGTGTGACCTTAGGCTGATCCCACTGCTTCATTCACGTTTCTCTCAGTATGTGCCTGGGACAGACTTGAGTCGGTGAGTTCACGCCAGTGAGTTCTGATTTTCTGTTCACTGAAAAGAGGCCTGCAACCAAACTTTTAACATCATATGGCTTGCGATTTTTATTCGCAGCACATTTCTAATGGTAGCAAGAAGAACTAAAAAAAAAAAAAAAACCAATAGTGTAACTCAAATATTTATGAATCTGATGATAAAAGAAATCCAGTTAATGCCCTGACTCTGCTACTAACTTGCTATAATGGATTCAGTGTCCTTAATGGATACGGTTTTATTGGGTTTTGTTTATTTATCTTAGTTTTAATGTTATTTTTTTCAAAGAAATTGTATAATTCTTTTAGATAGCAAGATTTATCTTCATGTACTTGATACTATTCTCATATTATTATCTTTTTAAATAAGTGTAGACCTTAAGTGATGTCCTTTTCATTCTTGAATATTTTCCTCTCTTTTTGTCTTGGTGGTTTTTGCCATGGGGTTGTAACTTTTATTCATTTATTTTTTCAAAAGCCTAATCTGGGGTTTTGTTGAAGCTCTTCGTTATGTGTATGTATTATAAATAATGAGTTTCTGCTTCTTTCTTGATTGCTTTCATTCCATAAGTTCTTAGGCTTGACTTTTTGTTCTAGTTTCTTGAGTTGGATGTTCTAGGGATCCAGAAACTTCTCTGTAACAAATGGTATAGTAAATATTTTAGGCCTTGAAAGGCCTTAATATCTCTGGCACAACTATTGAATTCTGCCTTTGTTTCATGAAAACAGCCACAGACATTATATAAATGAATGGGTATGGCTGGATTCCAATAAAACTTTATTTATAAAAAAGGTGGCAGGCTACATTTGATCTATAGGCCATAGTTTGGCAAACTTTGGTGTGATCATTAATTTTTCAGACTTTCTTTGCTAATATATGTAGTCAGCAGTGCACGTTTCCATCAAAGTCTGCTTTAGCTATACTCACAAATTTCAGGATTATATCTTGATTTACTTACATTGCTTTTGAGTGTATCATTTGGTATAGTTTTCTGAGTGGTTGCTCAAGGCACTAAAATATACATACAGATTCACATCACAAGTATTGATGATTTATCACTTTGAATGACGTACAGAAACATTACTTCCATTCAGTTTCCTGAATCCCCCCTACTTTGTAAGTATAATTATCTTAATTACTTATACAGATATCAAGCACCATATCAGGTGACATTATGGTTTTAGCTTCAGTCATCAGAAATTATCTTAAAAACTTAATGGAAAGTTATTTAAAGTTCTAAGCCTTCTGTTACCATTTCCTTCCTACTGAAAGTTTTTTTTTTTTTTTTAGCCCTTCTTTAAAGGTAGTTTAATAGCATCAAATTCTCTTAATTTCCTTTGTCTGAGAATATCTCTTTATTTTATCTTCATTCCAAAGGATAGTTTCCCTAGATATAGAAATCGGAGTTGATAATTCTTGCCTTATATCTGAAAAATGCTGTGCACTGCCTTTGCACCTCCCTGGGCATTCAAATTGGTGCTTCCCTGTGAATAATATGTTCTTTCTCTCTTGCTGTTTTCAAAGTTTTATTTTTGTTTTTTTTTTCTTTTATTATTTGTTTTTGTTTTTGTTTTCAGAAGTTTAATCGTAATGTGTATTTGCATGGATTTTTTTGGGTTAATTCTCTCCTGGCTTCGCTCAGCTTCTTAAATCTGTATGTTTGTGACCTTCAGCAAATTGTGGATGTCATTTCTTTAAATGCTTTCTCAGTCCCAGTCCCTCCTCTCTCCTTCTGTCACTTTGTTGATACAATGTTAGATCTTGCATTATTCTTCTACAGATCCCTGAAAATTAATATTTCTTTTTGAAAGTTTATTTATTTTGAGAGAGAAAAAGTTTGAGCAGGGGAGGGGCAGAGAGAGAGAGAGAATCCCAAGCAGCCTCCACTCTGTCAACATGGAGCCTGATGTGGTTCTCAAGAACCATGAGATTGTGACCTGAGCCAAAATCAAGAGTTGGACATTTAACCAACTGAGCCACCCAGGCGCCCCCTATTCTTCTGGTTTTAAGTCAATTTTCTTTCTGCTAAACAGAATGGGCAAATTCTATTGATCTATCTTTAAGTTCTCTGATTCTTTTATTTTTTTTATTGTTTTATTTATTTTTGAGAGAGAGAGAGAGAGTACAAGTCAGGGAGGGGCAGAAAGAGAGAGAGACACAGAATCTGAAGCAGGTTCCAGGCTCTGAGCTATCAGCACAGAGCCTGACTTGGGGCTAGAACTCATGAACTGTGAGATCATGACCTGAACCAAAGTCAGATGCTTAACCAACTGAGCCACCCAGGTGCCCCTAAATTCTCTGATTCTATCCTCTTAGTTTCCATTCTGCTATTGAGCCCCTTCAGCATGATTTTTTTGTTGGTGGTGGTGGTGTGTTTTTCAGTTTTATCATGTCCATTTGTGTGTGTGTGTGTGTGTGTCTACATATTCTTTTTCTGGCTGAAATTTTCTATTTTTTATTTGTTTCGAGAGCACTTGTGATTGCTCTTGAAGCACTTTTATGATGACTACGTTAAAATACTTTTCAGATAATTTAAACACCTTATTCCTCTCAGTATTGGTGTCTTTGGATTATCTTCTCTCATTAAAGTTGTGATTTTCCTGGCTTTGGTAAAACCAGTGATTTTTTTTACAAATTTCATCCTGGACATTTTGCATATTAAATTATGAGATTCTGGATTCTCTATAGTCTCCTTTTCACAGCAGGCAACCCCTTTGTTGCCGTGTAGTGTGAGGGCTGGATGGGTATGTGTGTTACGCTCCCTGAATGCCTGCTCATACTGCCTCGATGAAGATGACTGAAGTGCAGGTCTGTCACACCCCTCAGTCGCGCTCCCTAAATCCTGGTGAAAGTCAGATGCCAACCCCATCACACATCGCCCTTGAGTGGGGTGTCAACTTATCTCCCTGGTTGGCCCTGCTGCCCCCCGGGAGGGTGGGTGAGTGGGGCTGATGTTTGTGGCTTTGTAGCTACAGGACGTTGGTAGAAGCATCACTCTCCATAGTGAGATCCTGCTGACAGACAGGAGGAGACGGAGGGAAAGCCGAGGGAAGGAGGCCAACCTCCCATCACCTCACTACACCTTGGTGATGACAGGTAGGAGTGGAGGCTGAGCTTCCTGCTGAGCCATGGTAGTCAACATGGAGGCGAGGCAGAGTACTGATTCACCCCATCTTACACCACCTCACTCAGTTTAATTGCCACAGGGTGGGTGTGGGGATTGAACTTCCCACTGGACCCCACTGACCCCACTGACATTACCCCAAGGGAAATGGGAATGCTGCCTGCTTCTTCTAGGTGAGGATCAGCTTCCTGCTCGTCCCCTGGAGCACCACCAGCTGGGACAATTAGAGGATGCGTGGAAGACAACCCCCTGCTTGGCCCTGCTGAAACCTGGGAAAAAGGGACACTGGCTCTCTTGATGCTTGATCGAGTTAGGACATGTTGCCAAAAAGATTGAATGCAGTTGGCCCACTCATGTCTTAGTCCTTTAGGGAGAACAGACTTTTCTGGAACCATTTTTTGTTTGTTTGTTTGTTTGTTTGTTTTTGGTCTTGCTGTTAGTGATTCTGGATTGCAGACTTCTAGAGCACACAGTCTAGGATGTATGGGAGGCAATAAGAAACCCCGTGAGACTTACCACCTTGTTATTCCTCAAGTCCCTAGGTCCTAGGCCATCAGTCTTATCCTTTACCTTTCGTGGACCATCTATATTTGTTTTTGGACTATATCCAATGTTTGTTGGTTTGTTAAGGAGCATTTGGGAGGAATGGGGCTATTCTGCCTTAGCCAGAATTGGAAATCCACAAGTGTTGATATTCATGGATTTGTTTTTTTAGTATTCATTTAGTAATATTTTCTAATTTTTGTTACAATTATTTCTTTGACATGTGGACTGTCTAAAAGTGTGTTGCAGGATTTCAGAATATTTTAGGATTTTATACTTATCTCTTTTGTTATTGCTTTCCTATATAATTTCATGCTGAATAATTTCAATCCTTTGATACTTATTGAGACTTGATTTCACCCAGTATATGAATAGTTTTGGCAAACATTCCATATGCATTTGAAAGAATGTGTGCTGTCATTTTCTTTAGTGCAGTATCATACGTATTTTAACTAGGTCATATTTTTTCACTAAGGGTTCTGATCCTCTGTATCATTAATGGTGTTATCATTAATGGTGTTTTTGTCTGTTTATTGTATGAGATATTGAGAAAGTGCATTTCAGTCTCCCACTGTGATGGCAGCTCTGTGTGTTTCTTCTTTTAGTATGTCAATATTTACTGTATACATTTAATTTTATATTATTTGATATAAATAGATTTAGAACTTTATGACTTTTTGATATATCACCCTTTTATCATTATGAAATATCCTATATCTCTGAAACTATTTCTTGTTTTCAAGAATTACACCAAAGAACTACTGGCGAATATTTACGTTATATATTCTTTTATCCATTTCTTTCAACTTTGATTAGTCTTACTCTTCAAAATGTGTCCTTTCTAAGCTGTATATATTTTTTCTTGTATTTCTTTTTTTAATTCAAAATAACAACCTTGATCTTCTAGTTGGATTATATCTACCATCTTAGTATTTGTTTTCTGTTCAACACTTTCATTTTTTTTGTTTTTTATGATTAAACATTTTATCTTGAGATAATTGCACTTTCACATATAGTTGTAAGAAATAGAGATTCTCTTTACCCCTTACCCATTTTCCCAAATGGTGTAACTTCTTGCAAAACTGTAGTCCCATACCACGTTCAGGAAATGGATAAAATCCACCACTCATTCAGAATTCATGTGTGTGTGTGTGTGTGCGCACGCGCGTCTGTGTGTGTTGTGTAATTCTACAGAATTTGTTCTCATGTTCACATTCTCTTATCCACCATCATAGTCGCAACCAAGAATTACTCCAAGAGAACTGTAAGAACCTTTCTGTTACCTTTCTGTAACCATGTCATATCCATCCTCCCCCAG